AGAGGAAAGATCCAGAATAGTACCCTGGATGTAAATTATTCAGTGACATCACTGGAGGTTGTTTCTGAAATAAATTGTGGGCTATTAGCTCAGAACACAAGCTGCTATTAAGAACAGCTGGGAGTTCAAGTGTCTAAACTCAGCCCTTAGATCCTATCATTTGGATGAACACTTTCAGGGTGATCACAGGATGCAACCAGTGCCAAATATGATAGGACCACGTCATTACCACCATGTCACAGATTTCACAGCATTTATAACTAACATTAGTCTGATGTGCATTAACTCTATAGCTGGTTAGCTAACTAATAAATGAGACTGAACAGGAATATATTTTCTTTCCTTCTCTTTGTGTTTTTGCTTACAAACACACATTTTAACCCTCCTCCCTCTATTGTTAGAGAGAAATGCTCATTTATTGGAGACATAAAGAGCCATGGGGGGGGGGGAATCTGGTGCATTTTGTTCTATTTCACTTCAAGCTAGGGTTTTAAAGCCAGCGAAACATTGGTCCATCTAGAGAATTTCCATCTAAAAATATGGATGGAAGAGGGAAAGGGAAGGGATGGAAAAAAGAGGAAGAAGAAGCAGCAAATGTGACAAAACCATTCCCCTTTCCTTGCCTGTGTGTGTGTATGTGTGTGTTTGTGTAATGGCTTGTGTATCGTGTAGGTATTTTTTCTGATGATTAAAGTCTATTTTTGCTGGCTTAAACAAAATGAAGCTTTAAAAAACAACACTTGATTGGGTTGGACACAAGAAAGGAGTTATTTAAAAGTCAGTCTCCAAAATATATAAGTTGGTTATCCATGTAGCATCCTTTGATGCAAAACATTGGAAATCTGTACAGTACCAAGGGCCACATTGCAAGCATCTTAAGTAGCAAACCTAGAAGTTACCTTTAAAAAGTGGGCAGATTTTCCATACAGTGGCAGCTCCTTCTCTGTTATACTGACCCAGTGCTAGTTCCATATAGAATAAAGGCATCCCGGCAATGATGAGGAAGAGGATATAAGGAATGAGAAAAGCACCTGGAAACAGAACCACCAGACACTAACATTAGTTACATGCAAGTTTCCTTTTTGGATCTTATTTGTATGAATTCAGTGCTGTATAGGAATTACGATTTATGAGTTACTAGTACCAAAAAAAAAAAAAAAAAAAGTTACCAAGGATTCTGTATGGTGGGGAAGTGATCATTTTAGATATTATTTTTACCGCACTGGGTGACACTAACCCTAGTGACACTGTGAGAAGGAAAGAACTTTTTCCATACATTACATAAAGATATGCACCTCTGCTATGCTCTGCCATTTATTTGCCATTTTTCTAAGCCAAAAAATTGCTCTGGTGTTGTAACCTTGTCTCGTATTGCAGTTACTCTCCCATGCCAGCTAGACTCCGGGGCTGAGGATTGCAAGCATATGGAGCACTGAAAACATCAATTTTTAAATGTGTTCATTCTTGACTGTGAGAATGAACTTAGTGAGAGGCTGCAACCTTACTCATGACACCAAAGCGAAGTGACTTCATTCATATTCATTGCATTGCCTTTTTAAAAAATAACTGCATTGGAGCCTCAATACCAAGAGATGTAAATCAATAATCTATTACAGGTATCTCAGTTTCATGTAACACATTACTTCCAAGTTCTGCTGTTTTCTCACAACAGGTACAGAAAATGTGTAGCCTTTTCCTTGGTTGATGCTCTATGTTTCCTGGATACTTGCAGCAACAGAGAGGTCAATTAACTGAATAATGCTTTCAGATGCACAATGTTAGCATAATTTTATATAGCAGAATGGTTTTGCTAATCTCTCGGCATGTGTGTGGAGTTGTGAGGAGAGAAGTGGGGAGCAGAATTTACACAGCTGGATCATAGTGATAGCTATAATATTTGGCTAAGCAAATCCACTTCATCTCACTTTTTAACTTCAGAGCCAACACTGAAGGTTGGGTTTCCAAAAGTGTTGTGCTGCTGTTGGGTTTCTTTACCCATATCTTCCAGAACATCTTAATGCCTTCTTTTTTAAAAGAAAGAAGAAGCTTCCTCTATTTGATTTTCATTATGAGAGTGTTAAACTAGCCACCAGATATGAATTTCAAAGGGAGCATTTCTGGAGAGGGAAAGGGAAGGGAAAAACATTAGAAAGGAAACACACACACACAAATGGTAGGGATCACTGAGACTCATTGTATGTCAAGGTGGGGAAAAAGTGCTTGAAAACAGCTAAAATTAGTTCATTTGTGTCTTTCGAGTGCATTAAAGTGCCGGCGATAGGAGGTAGATGACTGAAAGTTGTACCAGGCGCTGGATCAAACACAAATGGAAACATCTTGAGATAACACTTAAGGCTTGTCTTACTGTGCTATAATCAGCAGCCTTTTTAACTATGCAAGTGGCATTTTTTCTTCTTCTTTTACGTGAGCCATTGAAGTGGAAATTTCCTTTCTCTCCTCAAAATGTAACTGCTGCAACATAGTGGTTTGGGTCAAAGATGGCAGGTGGCTTTTATGTTATTGAGGAGGGCTGTGTGAATCCATTCCACATTTTAGTCTGAATTTTAAAGGAACTATCCATGAAGTTGGACCTATTTTGGGCATTGGGTTCCACACCTTTAAAGTTCAGACTAAAATCCAGAGTGGGTTCACTGCTCTATTAACATGGAAGCCAGTAGTCTCCATTGGTTAGGAGTGAAGTCAGAGACAGACACACAATTATTTTTTTCCTTATTCACACTGGTCTGAACTTTGCCATGCAGTTTTCCAAGCAAGAAGTACATTCAAATTCAGATTTATTGATGGAAACTGTCACAAAAAATAGGTGTTTGTCTTGAAAATTGAAACAACATGAAAATAAATGTTGCAAAACAAAAATGTGTGTATTTGTAAATCAACATGACCAAAACGTGTCAACTGCATTACACCAATACACACAGAACATTTCTTTTCCAGAAAGAATTCTTATTTTTTAAAAAGCCAAACTGTTTTAGAATCAAGATGAAATGAATTTTAAGATGAAAAGCTGAAAACAGAGAAATCCAACAGATTCAGTCACCCCAGGTGCAATTGGGAGTAATGAATGTCCCATAATATCTTTTTTAAAAATGATGCAAAAGAAAATTCAGGTTATGTCATGACACTGAAGGCACACAGAGGGTGACTGGTTGCTTGGCAAGCTTGGAGAAAAGTTACATTTTAGGCATACAACTCCCAGGTATACACACCCAGCCATGTTTGTTAGGGATTATGAGATCTGTAGTCCAAAACTGTAACTTTTCCTATAAGTCATGGTTCTTTACCCTCTCTAAGATGAACCTATCATGTTTTTTTTGTTTTTATTTGCAAGTTACATCAAAGGAGGTTTGTCATTACCATCCTCTGGGGCTGAGAGAGTATGACTTGCCCAAGGTCACCAAATTTCCACCCATGGCCAAGTTGGGATTTCAACTCTGTTCTCGAGAGTTGTAGTCCAATGCTCAAACCACTACACTATGGGTCTAACGATGTAGATACAAAAAGTAGACCTCCACCTTGGCATGGTTGTCCACCCTGATATAAAATATGGGTCCCATCATTTGGCTATGGCCCAAGCCATGGGTCTAAGGAGGGGCAAAATGGATCATTCCAACTAGAATCTCAAAACCAGCTTTGTTTTGCCATCCCTGAAGAAGACTACAGCAACTACACAGTTAGAAGGTAGCTCTTTATCCCATAGAACACAACAGATGTCCTTCGTTTCAAATTTGGTGGACCCTCCACATTGACTGGGGTTAGGCACACAGGACCCCCATGAAATTGGAAATACTACAAATAAAAAAAATCACTGGTTGTTTGTTTATTTGATCTGAGGAACCCCTCTCTAGGAATTTCTAGTTCCCCCAGCACAACTCTATGTTTGACATCAGCTGACCATAGATTCACACTGGAAGGCCTACAATTGCTGAGAAAAATGTTTTCTATCAGAATCTCTAAGTCCTCCAACATGACTCCATGGTCAAATTTCAGTAGAGTCAAGTTGTACGATCTGGAGATTCCTAAAGAGAATATATCAACTAAATCTGCAAATAATCAAATCTGCAAAAGCCAAAGCTGCCGATGTGGAGGACCCACTGTATCACAGCTCTGAAACTTTGGATGCAGCTCTTTGGATCCAACTTTTGATAAACCTCTTCTAACATCCATTTCAACAGATCCAGAGGAAGGGTTCTATGAAGATGCAATTAATGATCACAGTGTAATATTTCAGTGCCATAAACCACCTTTGACCCATGTTCCTCCTGTGAAGAGCTGTGAGTCTGTGCATCAGCAAAAAGTCCTGCAGAAATGCAAATCACATCCAGCTGCTTGCCTTTGATCCCACAATCTCTTTCTAATGCTTTGCCGAAGCACTTCCTACCCTTGTTATTCCAAACCATGTGACTGTTATTTGACATCAAAGTGTTCATGTATAAGTCTTATCCTGAAAGGCTAAAATGTGCAAAGAGGAGACCATGTAAGGGAGAAAATGTGTGTGTGTGTGTCCTCACACACACTTTTTATTTCTCTCCACTTTTTACAAGAGTGCTTGGGGACCTCATAAAAGCACACAAAAATCAGATAGCTCCTTTTGCAAATTAAATACATATTTTCCCCTCGTCGAGGCAAAAGAAGGCTGCTTTCAAGATTTCACAGCCTTTTTAAAAGAGAATAATCTCTGTGTTGTCATTTTTTTTCCAATAAAAGAAAAAAACACATCAGTAGTTGCCTTAAGCCTCATTGCACCATGTCATATGATACAAACAGAGGGGTCAGCATTATATAAATTGAGTTTTCCCAAACTAAAAAGCTGAATATCTCTGCATTGCACAAAATTAGTCATCCAACAAAAGCAAGAGTCCACACTCTTTTTTTAAAAAAAAATGAAGTATTTTGCATAACCTAAAAGCTTGCAGATGTTTACCTCAAAAAAAATCTAGGGCTGGTATTATTATTATTATTATTATTATTATTATTTACAAAGCCAACATGCTGCAGTGGTTTGAGTGTTAGACTACAACTCTGGAGACCAGGGTTCAAATCCCAGCTCCGCTATGGTCACTGGGTGACCTTGAGCAGGTCACAATCTCTCATCCTCACAGGATGGCAATGGCAAACCCCCTATGAAGAAACCTGCCAAGAAAACTCCATGATAGGGTCACCCCTAGGGTTGCCATAAGCCAGAGATGACTTGAAGGAGCACAACAATTTTTAAAAATAATTTAACTGTGCAATAGTTAACTGACAGTCTGAGAAATCTGTGGTCCTAACCTCTGTCTGTGGCTAATGGGAATACAGATACATAGGAAACTGCCTGATAATGTCCCAAAATAATACATTCATCTAGTGCAGTATAAAAACCATGGCTGTCAACAACTCTTCAGGGTTTCAAGCAGGATTTTTTCCTAGCCATACCTGAGGACCTGCCATATTCCCTGGGAGTCGCCTATCCAAGTATCAACCAGATCTGGCCTTGTTTCCAAAATCAGACAAGATAGGGTAGTATTGTAGACTATTGCAACTGGAGCTATCAACATCTGAAGGGCCATGGATTCCCTAACTTTGCTTACTGTTTTTTTAAATAATACACCACACAAATGCAAACTTTTGTACAACGCACTGTGGTCTTTTTGTGAAAAAAAAAACAAGATTTTGGGGGTGCAAACAAACTTTTTGCAAAAGAGTGCAAAGTGCAAAAAAAATCTCATTGCAGTTGATCATTTTCTTGAAAGGGTGTCATAATGTGTCAAAGATACCCTTCCTTATTCAAGATGAGAAAGTTGGTATATATGCTTTGCATCATGTGTGTGTGTTTATATGTGCCTGTTTTTGTATGTATGGATGCACATATACACTCTTTACATAACATTGCCAAGTTTCATTGCTCCACCTTGTGGTCTACCAGAAAAAAAATAATGTACAAAGTTCCCTTGAGTTTCTGTAGAATAAAAGGGGACAAAAGCACGAGAGACAGATGACTCTGCCCTATTTCATTGTCACATCATTATTGTTTGGCCTTTTCAGCCAAAACACACTTTGCTTTATTGATAACTATTTTCAACTTTTAGCATTCAGTTTACTGACTTCACATTTCCAGCCGCCTATCCTATATATTGTTATAAGTCCATCCAGGTGACTTTGTTCATTCATATTCTGTGCCTTATACCTTGTCCTCGCTCATCTAAAGAAGGAAGGCAAAATATGAGCAGAAGGAAAGACGCTAGGTTGCAGAGGTGGTGGAAAGGACAGAACTGTTCCAAACTCTAGAAAGAAAGGAAATAACTTTTTTAAAAAACGATCCTCCATGTAAAAACTTCCTACAGATAAAAAATAATATATTAGAGAGAAAGGGGCCATGTCACCCACTTCCTATGTGCTAGATTTCTGTCTCATAGGAGGTTGATTTAATATATATATATATATATACACACACACACACACACACACACACACACACACACACACAACATATACAACATATAGAATAGTATTGACATATAATCCCCCTAGTTTAAAACCTTAAGTGATGCAATCCAGAGGCACCTGAAAGTTTCCAGGTCAGCAGGTTGATAAATCCATCCCAGGTTTTCATCAGATAAACCTCCCTTGAGGCAGACACCTTGTTATTGTTGTTGTTGTGTGCTTTCAGGTGTTTCCAACTCATGGTGATCCTAAAGTGATCCTATCATGAGGTTTTCTGGGGCTGAGAGTGTGTGACTTGCCCATGGTCATGCAATGGGTTTCCATGACTGAGAGAGGAATCAAATCCTGATTTCTAGTATCATTGTCCTATGTTCAAATCACCACATTATGCTGGATCTCATGCAGAAATCTAGGACACAGGAAGGGAATGGTATGGAAGCTTTCTAATATACAAGGTCCTGAACATATCCAAAGTGGTGAACCCTATACCTGAAATATACATATATTCCTTGGATATTTCCCTTAAAGTTCCATCTAAAGCCAAGGTTGAGTTCACAACCTCAATAGCATTAGAACCACCAGCTTCTACAGGTGCAATCTCAATATTCCACTACTTCTTTTTTGTTGCCTCTGGAGACCATATCTAAGTTCATGTCCAACTAACTGGGATTGCCACCAGTTTATCTTTATTCCCAGGTCCACATTTGGCAGTTGAGCTAGTGTAATGTGTATTTTCTACAGGAAGTGATACAAGACACAGCAGGCTACCAAAGAGTTCTTATTTGCATCTGCTAAGAATAGCAGTCCGGGAGCAAAGACGATTCCTTGTGCTCCACACATGCTAAGGTTGCCGAGTACAAACTAATGAACAATAAGAAGGCTTGTGAAACAATAGGGAGCCTTTTAACACATGTCAGTGAAACGGCTTTAAGATTTGCCTGAGTCTACTATGCTCATAAAAAAATCTCACAAAGCAGAAAGCGAGAGAAAGAGAGTGGATAACTTGATGTACAAAGGTTTAAAAGTGATGGCTCGATGGGATGTTTACTTTTGATAGGTAGTGGTTACATCTACAATGAAGAATTCATGCAGTTTTACTCCATTTTAACTGCCATGGCTCAATGCTATGGAATTTTGGGATTTGTCATAGATATGGGTCTAGCAACTATGTCCTTCCAAGTGTGTGTGTTTAAAAGGGAAACAAATTGTTAAATTCACAAGAAAATACTTTTGCCCAATGACTCAAAAATCTGTTTGTGCTTCAACAAAGCACATGACAGGAAGAAAACAAACCTAACAAGGGTAGCCAACTATTCCATAAAGCAGTGCTACTCAAAATGGTGGTCCTTGGACTGGTTGAGGTTCCTGGCTCATTTCCAGGAAAGAAACAGTTATAACCTATGGGAACAAAGTTAGTTCTGGCACACTGGAAAACAATTATTTGCCAGTCAACCACATCAGATCACCCGAGAAGCCCCGCTGTAAACCTTTCAACCCAGATTACTACTGGTCTTTCAAGACAGGCTTGTAATTCTAAGATCTAGAAAGAGATCCTACAGTTCTGTGACACAAAACCAAATACCAATTTCATGCTAAATCCAGAGCTTTGAAAAGCTTCTTTTGAACTATAACTCTCAGAATCCACCAGCTAGCCCGACTTGTGGAATGATGGGAGCTGTAATCAAAAAGTAGCCAACTAAACTTGTATGCATTTCACAGCAGGAAAGATTCTCTGCAGGAGACAAGAGAATCCACAGGTCATCTCTAAGCTCACTGTCTCAGTGAATAATATAGGCTCTATTTCAGAGGAAGGACCTGGCAAAACCATACCTGAGTATTCCTTGTCTAAGAAATTCATGGGGTCACTATGCATCATGCAATTCATGGGGTCACTTATACACTGACAGGCAAGAGGAAGATACATATGAAATCAGCATTATTCATGGGAGGCCCAACCAGTCATGCAATAGGAAACTGCTCCTTCCTATAGCATGATACCATAACTGGGGGTTTGCTGGGTGAAGGCCTGTCACTGAATGCACCCAGATTTATTTTGTACCCAATAGGAGTGCACTCCCATTTATATTGGCCACCTGACATTCATTTTTGGTCTTCCTCCTTCAGTGCCCAAGAGCAGACAGATTGAGTCCATATGCACTCCTGCACCCTATCAGTGGTAGGCGAGAAAGAGAGAGAAATAGGTCTAGCAGTCCACCTAGCTATTGTTATGCCCCAGAATGAGAAGCTTGTGGAAGGAGGTACCAGATACCTCCTCCTTCAAGATCCCAAAAGTATAAACACATATAGGTAACCCCCATTTCCCCCAAACTATGTCACCAACAGGATGTGAGCCCAAATGACCTGACCCCCCAGACTTCAACCACATTCCCCCGATGTCCATTTCCACACTCAGCTGGTCAAGAAACAGTTTTGACCCACTTCTCAAGCCATGCCTCCCTCCTTCTGCACCATCACAAGGGCCTACTCCCTATCTCAGGTTAGAGGCCTAAAATCTCAGGAAATGGGATGTTGATGACCAGTCTACCTTAAATAGAAAGAGTAGAACCAAGCATCAGGACCAAAGTCTGAAGATCCTTCAGGGAATACAGTCCTTGTGGTAGACTTCCCAAATCTCAGAGACTGGGTCCTCTTGTTTGGTTCTTAGAGCATCCAAAAGGAATCTCAAGGTGAAAGCAGTGCCAGGCAAAGAAAATGTCATAATAAAACCACCAGGACCTATCTCTTGTTACATCACCTGGGCTCATCCCTTGTTTTTGGGTTTGAGCCATGAAATCCCAGAGCCTGGGATGCTTTTGAGTTGACAACCTTATCTTTTGGCTTTCCTTCTCTGAGCTGGCCTACCATGACACTACCCTCTCATGTTCCTACCTCTTTGTATCTCTACAGACCTAACCTGAGTCACTGCTAAGGAGGAGGAGAGGACAGCACAGGTGGTGACTATCTGTTGCCACAGCAGGTGCCCTGCAATGCCAATCCCATGGCATTAGCCCTGAGCAGACTGGGCCACACAAAATGTTTACATCTTTCTTTGCCAATATAAGGCAGTTTCATTTTTACCTATAACAGAGAGGAGAGACAATGTATTAAATTGCAAGACAGTATTGAGATTAGCAGAGTGTGTCCAACATGCAGGCTTCTTATGATCTCACCCATGACCTTCAAAGTGCAAATGATAAACAAATAACAAAGAACCAAAACAAGTAGCAATAAGCAGGAAATGTTCTATTTTATGATTTTTATGTTACTCATTAGGAAAGAAAGCTCAGATCTTTTTAATGCAGTTAAAGCATTTGGCTTTTGTGCACTCCAACTTTTTCAATGTGATATGCAGCAACCCCAGAATGGAGATCAGGCAGGATTTGGTTAGGTGTGTTGCTCTTAAAGAGAGAATTTAAGAGAAAAAACAGAGTAAAGAGCCAGGATAGTAAACTTGGACTTGCACTTGTGAGATCCAGGTTTTAGTCCACAGTTTCCTTGAAACTCACAAAGGCTGCATCTACGCTGCAACAATAATACAGTTTGACACCACTTTAACTGCCATGGATCAATGCTATGGAATCTGGGATTTGTAGTTTTGTGAGCTTTTTAGTCTTCGTTGTCAGAGCCCTGGTGTCACAAAAAACTACAAACCCCAAGATTCCATAGATAGAGCTATGGCAGTTAAACACCATATCAAACTGCACTGTTTCTACAGTGCAGATGCAATCCTAGGTTCATCTGGCATGTATTTTCTACACTGAATGTGTTCTAGTCTCCCTCATCTCCTTTATCACCAAGAAATGGAACAGTTCAGGCACTGATTTCTTGACTTCTTTCATAGTCCTGCCAAGAGCTCTCCATCTGTTCGCCATACCCTCTGTTCCTCAAATATGGGACTGGCTGGGTCCCAGTGAGGATTACAGATGGAATGACTCCAGCAAACACGCAAAGAAGTTGCTTCTCGCTGGCAGCAAGAAACTAGGAAGAGCAGGCTTGAGCTGTGTGTGCTTCACATTAGACAAGAAAGAACTTAGGATCTTGCCTAAAAAAGAATCTGGGCCCTGGACAATCTAGCCTGGGGCTGTCTATGTGGACTCATAGTGGTTCTTCTGGGTTTCAGACAGAAGTGTTTCCTGGTGATACTGGGGATCAAACCTTGGAATTTTTGCATGCAAAGCATGCATGTTATTATTGAATTACAACTCAAAATTACACACACACACACACACACACACACACACAGAGAGAGTATGTGTCTGTGTCTACAAGTTTCCGGTTGACTTCTGGTAACCCAATGAATTTCATAGGGTTATCTTTGGCAAGGTGTCTTTGTCAGTTCCTTCCTCTGAATTATAGCCTACAGCACCTTGTATCCATTGATTTCCATCCAAAGACTAACCAGGGCTACCTCTGCGTCCAATATCAGACAGGATCAAGAGCCTTCAGGGTAAAGCCATTAAGGAAATCCAACCATAGTAAGATTCGGTTCCTCGTGGTTCTAAGGATATCTTTTAAAAATCAGCTCGTATGAACTTGCTCTATAGCATCTCAGTACCTCAAGTCAACCAAAGCTATTTTGGAACATATGGCAAAAATAGTACCACTCCTTTAAAAGTGCAACCAGAAATTTTAAGTAACAGACCATCTACTGTACTCTCAAGATGCTCATCATTTGCTGTCTGAGGCAACCGCCTCATTCTAGCTGCATGCAGTCCAAAGTCCGCATTGCAATATCTGAGCAACACAGTGCATTTTCTGAGTAAACACACTGAGAATCAAGCCTGGTTCAATACCCCCATGCTTAACTGTCCCACAAAAGAACTTGTGGGGCATACATTCTTCTCCTTAGCTCCCTCTTACCTTCAAAAAGTTACAAAGGTGTAGAGTTAATGAGTCACTTTTCTTGCAAGACTGAGTACCGAGGCAGAATCTGCACTGCAGAATTAATGCACTTTGACACTGCTTTAACTGTCATGGCTCCATCCTAGAGTATACTAAGATTTGTACTTTGTTGCAGTCAGGAAATGGAATTCTCTGACAGAGAAGGCTAAATATCTCACTAAACTACAAATCTCAAAATTCCATAACATTGAACTATGGCAGTTAAAAGTGGTGTCAGACTGCATTATTCCTTTACATTTAAATTTATATACCATTTTCCTCATATACCTCCCTTTATCCACAAAAAAACCCCTGTGAGATTAAGAGTATGTGACTGTTCCAAGGTGGCCCAGTGAGTTCCAAGAAAAACTGAGGACTAGAACCTGGATCTCCCAAGTCCTAATCCAATGCACAAACTACTCTACAACCCTGGTTCTTTGCTGTATTAGATCCTCTCATGAATCTCTTTAAGAAAAGAACACACCTAACCAAATCCAGGCTGATTCCCATTCTGAGGTTGCTGAATATCAGATTTTTAAAAACTGCAGGGAAAGTCTGGTAGAGAATATGGTTGTCTCAGGGTGCATCCACACTGCAGAAGTAACACAGTTTGACATCACTTTAACTGCATGGCTCAATACTGTACAATGCAGTTCTAGGATCTGTAGTTTTGTAAGATATTTAGCCTTCCCTGTCAGAGAGCTCTGGTGCCCCACCAAATTACAAACCCCAGAATTTCATAGCATTGAACCATGGCAATAAAAGCAGTGTCAAACAGCACTAATTCTGAAATGTAGCAGCAGCCTCAGTGTCCCCCAAGGACTAACGTCAAGATTGCACAAATCCCACTCCAATGCTATAATCCAGTTGTAGAAATTTGTGGGGCATTTTTGCTCCCACAACTCACTGCTGGCCACATCTCCTCTTCCCATTGCATCAGAAGCGATTTTTGGTCCTGTCACACTACACAAATATAGTACTACAAACCACTTTAAGTGCCCTGGTTACATCCCATGGAATTCTGGGACTTGTAGTTTGGTGAGCCACTGGCGCACTCTGGCTGAGAATTCTAAATACGCCTCCATAAACTGCCAATCCCATAAATTGCCAATCTATAAAAAGTTGCCAAGGAGGTTACAGTAAAAGACAGCATTAGAATTGCATAGTGTAAATGGGTCCATTGTGCCATTTCCATTCACCATTTAAGACTGGTTTTTAGTGGGAAAGAGAGGGTTTTTTTTCAGAGGGAGTGATGCAAAAGAGAGGATGACAGATTTTGGAATTTTGATCATGCAATTTTGTTTAAACCAGGGGGCTTGGGAACTTCAGGGGGAGTGGCAGAAAGTTTAGGGATTGCAAAAGTAGAGTTTGGGGTCCCAAATAGGGTTCTGCTATAACCAATACACCACAGCGGTGCTCTCTTCTGCCCCTTTGTCCTCCGATGACCCTCCATTGAAAACTATACATCCAACCAAACTCTGGTTGATACTCATTTTATAGCCCTGAGAGACTTCATTAGCCTCGGCTAAAGGTGGGATATAAATAAAAAATTTATTATTATTATTATTATTATTATTATTATTATTATTATTATTATTATTTTGCTACTCAGCCCAAGAGATAGATTCGTCACTGGCATTCACAAATAATTCAGTTTTACTCAAACAATATTTTTGGCTTTCTTTCCAAGTAGTAGCCAAAGAATCATGAAATATCACTTTTCCTGCATGCTGGTGCCTTTTGCATTTTGTGGCTGGTTATTTATTAAACTAAACTATTAGACTAAAACCAAAATGTATCAAGTCTCAGTCCAATACTAATCATTACATCACATTGTCTCTCCATATCTAATTTTTCTCTCTCTTTGCAAAGTGATGATCCACTTCCTCAGATTCATGGAGTATTCAGATGCATTGAGGCACTAGAATTCTTTGACAGAGGTGGCTAATGATCTTGTAAAACTACAAATTCCTGGATTCTATAGGATGGAGGTGCAGCACTTAAAGTAGTATCAAACTACATTATTTCAGCAGTGTAGATGCAGCCCTGGTTGGGCTTTTAATACTGCACCATTGTCAACTGCAATGTTACTGATGCTCTAAAATTTTATTGCATGGTAGCAACAGGAGAGAGTAGATAGGGAATGGTTTATTGCTCCAGTATTTTATTTATTTAATTAATTGATATCCTGCCTTTCTCTCAGCATGTGAGCCAAGGCAGCGTGCAACATTTTAAAAGCACAATACAAGTTCAAAAACCTCTTCGGACAAAAGTACTCCTGTATGCCTTTCTGTCTCTTAACTTGTAAGTTTCAAAATAATATTATGCATATAATTCTGTGCCTAGTACATGAACATGTGATTTCATAAATGTAGGGTGCAGTTAAATGTTATTCCCCTCTAGGGCAGACCCACCCAATTCAACAGAAAGGAGGTAAGTCATGGTGACCCCTTCCTTTCAGTAGGCTTGTTATAGACTACTAGATTGAACCCTGAATTGTTTGTTTATTTATTTATTTATTAAAAAATTGGAGACTAGAATTTGCACAACACCACCCACAGTATAATTTCAGGATTTGAACCCAGAGACCCTGCCCTGCCAAAACTTTTAAAATCAAGTGCAGATACATTCAAAGTCTAACCCTATGCTATTCCTCTCTTCTGTTGATTTATACCCAGTCATATCTGCACAAAATCTGGATGGAGAGAATGAGAAAGAGGGAGAGGCTCTTTCTCAGTGGTATCAGTTTGATATCACTTTAACCATTGGGGCTCCCTCCTGTGGAATCATGGGGTCTTTCCTTTGGAACTTATAGTTTCTTGCTAGTGCTATAATTCTGGGGAATAATCTGCCTGGAGACAATTCTAAAGAGCCAGCATGATGCAATGGTTTGGACATTGGACTATGACTTGGGAGACCTGGGTTCAAATCCCTGCTTAGGCATGGAAACATGCTGGGTGACCTTAAGTCACACACTCTCGGCCTCAGGAGGAGGCAATGGCAAGCCTCCTCTGAACAAACCTGGCCAAGCAAACCCCATGATAGGTTCACCTTAGGGTCACCATAAGTCAGAAATGACTTGAAGGCACACGGCATGCAGAGTTCTAAAGAGCCAGCTTGATGTAATGGTTTGAATTTAGAATTAGGACTCTGGAGACCAGGGTTTGAATCCCTCCTTGGCCATGGTAACATACTGGTTTGGTTTGATCCCCTTTAGGGATCTAGGTGACTTTAGCCAAGTCACACTCTCTCTGCCTCAAAGAAAGACAAAGCCCCTGTGAACCAATCTTGCCAAGAAAATCCCAGGATAAGTTTGCCTTAGGGTCACCATGTTCCGAAACACTGCAAAAATCACCCAGTTTGCTTTACCTACCTTGGCTAGGGGCTTGTGGGAACTATAGTTCTGTGAGACATTTAGCCTTTTCTGTCAGACAGCTCTAATGCCACAATAAACTATGATTTCCAGGATCTCCTAGCACTCAAACAGAGAAAATAAAGCGGTCTTAAACAGGATCATTTTCTGCACTGTGTTGGACCCCATTAAGTCAGAAATGACTTCCAGCCACACAGCAACCCCAAGAGAGTCCCAAGTACCTCCCCAAACTACAAATCCCAGGATCCTGCCAGATAGAGCAGCCCTGGCAGTTCAAGTGGTATCCAACTATCCCAACTGTGGAATCAATAAATCATTTATTTATTTACGGTCCTAGACCAAAGAGAAAATACAGTGCATAAAACACAGAACA